TACCAAAAGAGCAGTATGCTATATGCTAATTTTTCTTTTACAAATTTGCTCAAAATTTGATTCGGTGATTAGGTTTTTCCGTATTTCCAACCATTCACTGCTATCTCTTGCAAAACTGTAGCCCTTTCGATAGCCTGGCTATCAGAAGTAAGCATTCTTAAATTATTTAAGGACTCTACTTCAGCTTTTTTTCAGTACGTGTGGAGACATATTTGGTGCTGTGCTCGCTAATGTCATGTTGCTTTTGATTGCCGTCTTTTAATTTCCATACTTCTTTTTACGGGATGCTCGAAGTTTAGGTTTCGTTCTGAGCTCTCCGTCTTTCAATGATTTTGGCCCTGCCTTTAGGACTTTTGTTTAAAAAAGCTGTTTGGACGGCTGAAAGCCCCGATTGGCTGTTAAACGAAAGAATAGGTGCTGAACACCTTCCTTGATAACCTCCTTTTAATGAAATTATTCGTTTTCCACAAATGAATTTAACGATGACACTATTAAAACAGTCAACAAGTTTGTGTCAACGTCTTCGATTAAGCCGCGTGATTTTGCAGCAAAACTTGAAACAATCGCGTTTATTCAGACAATGAAAGTGGAACTCTGGGTCTTTTTAAGTTCTTCGTTGTCATTTCTATCTTTATTGCAATAATATTCTTGGCACATTCTATGGTCGCTAAAAGCATGAGCTACACAGATGATAATATCCGTATGGAGATTAGATATTGCTACATTGCGAGGACCTTCAGAGGTTTTGTGAAGTCTAATACATAGTACTATCGATTTCCGCATAGTCAAAATTTTGACATTATTAAGCATTTTACGATGCACTTAAACATACTTTGTGTCTGTAATCAGATTACGTAGTTTTTTACAGAAGTTTGTAGTTCTGATATTTTCGTGCAGTGGCTTACCATTCGACAGGCAGGATACCGAACGAAAAGACAAAATACGAATTAAATTTAATTATGCAAAATTCTAGCGATCATCGGTACAAATATATTTATAAACTATACTAGAATAATCATAAATTTTGCATTTACCAATCAGAGGCTAAATAAAATAAAATTTAATTTTGCGAACAAATTACATTGCAATACAAATAAAATGTTTACGTAAATTAGTACTTCTTTACATATCTTTGGAGTGCATTCTTTCTGTGTCTTTTATCACTTTGCGCGACTTTTTTCGCCTGCGTTTTTTAATACCCATTATGATTTATAACTGCAAAGCAATAAATTCTCAAAAAGAGATGATTTGGTGCGTGTAGTTGTCGCTGAAGAAACTGACACAGGTCCGTCGTCGACAAGCGCCAGCACGCGACTAATCGGACATATCTGAGCCGCCGCGACCGCTTTTAAAAGTTAATGAAACATAGTAATTAAGAAAATCATTTTATCAATTTTAACTCTGCGAATTTGTCTGTAACTAATAAGTTTCTTTATTATAGTACAAAAATTAAACGTAAATAATCAGTAATATAGTCGTAATATTGAAAAAACGTTTTAAAAAGGGGTAACTTTGCGATTTTTTTCTATCGAGTGAAGTTTATCAGGTCTTGCAACTGAATGCGATTTTGACTAGATAAGATCCTCAACTAAAACATATATTTTTTTTGTAATTTAAAACACTGTTGTTTTTGTCTCAGATTGTTTTAAAAAACGTAAATTTGGGCCCACCTCGCCTTAAGTAAGAGCCTAATGAATTGGGACGCTGCCAAAGTTCGTTGTGTCAAACGCAGATTCCATTTAAAAAGGGGATAAATGTAATAGCTGTGGACATTCGCAAATAAGTCGAATTATCTGATTGTTAACGAAATAAAATATGAATTTACATTTTCTTATTTGTATTTTTATATCCTACAGCCGATTATTGATGTCGGATTTACGCCCGAAATAATTTGCGTTACTATTAACGCTCTCTACTCTCGCTTAAAAGCTTACGAAAACTCATAAAAAGCTGGCGTCTCTCGGCGAATCGCCTGACGTTAAGCAATCGGGACGCTGTTCATGGCCACCCGCAACACTAGGGGAGCTAGGTACCGCACACACCGAGTTGTTAGGGATTTGGGGATTGGGGATTTTAATAATAGGCGCCAATATTCCGTGAAGCTGTTGTGGTAATCACTCCGGTCGACCCATTCACTTCTGCCCACTTATTCTAATTAGTTAACTAAGCCACCAATCAAACATAAAACGTCTATCATTCAAAGTTATGACAAACTGATCTAAAATTCAAAAGCGACTAAGTCCATTGAAAGCATATTTCTGAGCTATGCAAATTGTAAATTTAAATCCTTTACTTTAAGGTCGAATGTCCCGTTACATTCAGAACTGGGGCATGGAAGCCTTGTGAGACTAGTTTGCACAAGTGTATACGTTTTAAGGATAGGTACGTACGTAGTACAGTTAGGCGGTAATTAACGCCAGCGACTCGGATGTATATAAAAACGAAAGTATAGGTTAAGGAACTTGAGATTGCTTATTCTATTTCGACATTTTTGCGGGAAAATATCGAAGCTCAGGTCAGGATACTTAGGTACTTACTCATACTAGAGGTATTTGCTAGGATTAAGCTTGACTTGTAATGAGTGATTGTGGTCATCTAAGGACAGTTTAACAGGTCACGGTGTTTCGATTGTTTTTTCTGGCTTGCATGAATGCTACAGAAAATACAGATATAAAATGAAAGAAAAAAGTTTGATCAATGCACGAGTAAAATTAACATTCACATTTAAAGGGATCATTCCTAAAAATGTAGTGGCTGGTAACTAAAACCTATATTTTAAAGCTAAAAGCGTTATAAAACTCATATTGAATGAAAAAGAAACAAAGTTGGTCTTCACGTATTTACCATTGCGTGACTGAGTCGTAAATGTACGCTTTTTATCATGCGCGTTAACACGTAAAGCTGTCGGCAGCGCAGCGTAAGAATCGAAGTTGCAACAGCTTGCGTAAAGCGTAAAGTGCGCATTGTTCGAAGAGTATGTTATCAAGATCGAAGGCTTGGTATGAAAGGAACCTTTTTGTTTAGACTGCGAACAACAATCTTTTATGGGTACAAAACTACGATAGCCCGAGGCTTGGATTGCAAAAAATCTATAAAAACGTCCAAGGTCCTATACCCACTTAAACATATCAAAATTGGTTTAGCTGTTTATGCGATAAAACGTAATAAACACACAAGAAATGCAAAAAGTCTTGACGTGGGTGTAAAAGTAAAGCGCCTGCCGTAATTCAAGTTTCCATTTACATCTACCGGAATCTAATTGAATTTAGCAACGCCCACAATAAAATTACATGAAAAAATGTACGAGAGCAAAAATCCTGCTACACAAGATATTTAAATAAGAGCTGGCACGTTCTTATGGGTGCTATGGGATTTATAAACTCAATATATGGTTTCACCTGTGACCCGAATATACGAGTTCAAGCTAAGTGGCCATTCGGAGTTCCGGAGCGTTTTATTGATTACATTTCTTATGTTCCTTTGTTACAGGTGTAAAGGCAAAACTGTGAAGAATATGATTTATATTTTCAGAAGAAAAAAAAATCTATTTTCCACCAACACAATTTTTTGACATTAGGTACATTTTCTAAATAAAACATAGTATTACTCTATGTACACAATTACGCCCACGCACAAAATGAAAACATTATCTATTTACAATTTCATTATGTACTAACAACCATTTATGCTTGTTCTCATAATTACTGAACACAATTAATTTGGTTGCCGACGAATTTCGAGCGTTTGTTGGCACAATAGTGACTGTAATTCATAGAGAGACATAATTCATTTCACGCTCCACTGAATATCACCTCATATAAAATACCTATACATAGCTACTTCTATATATTAAAATATCTAAAGTTATTACGATATACAACTGGCCATCTACCAAAGAAAAGCCGTTACTCATTTATTTTTTTGCTAAAATTACGCGTCGTGTCACTGGCCAGAAAGAACCTTCAACTTTTTGCTCCAACGAAAATTGTCCAGAATTCTTTTTTTCAATTTTACGGTTATTAGGATCAAAGATGATTGCCAAGTTAGGACGTCTGATTCGTTTAAATTCGACTGTGAATAAAATTGTATTAATTAATTGATGTGATACGTAATTGGCATGAAATCAGGCCAATTTATCTGTCAATTCGAAAACGAATTGGGTTGGTTTAAATTTTTAAACAGATCGAGATATAGAGCTGAGTTAAGCGCATTCTGTGTTGCCATGAATATAATTAAATCAGCGGCATCGTTGTACCGTAATTTCAATGCAGCACATTGGCATAGGTTTAATAGAGTAGCCGAATAAAATAATGATAAACACATCTATTGATAATTATCGTAGAATATAAAAAAATAGACAAGAAAGACTCCAAAAATGAAAACTTTCATTGATATTCATAATATAAAAGCTTTGCACTAAAAACAAGTTTAAATTCAATAACTTTCTTAAACATTTATAACAAGAAACTGGTGTTTTAACGTCAAAAAACAGCAGTTTTCAGCAGCAGAATATTCCTTGACATTTTATCTGCCCGCTGACCTGAGGTTAGGGTTGTTATAACATAATCTAGATATCAGGCATTTTGCCGTGTGGCATAGTGCCAACCCTCGCGTGCTATATTCTGGGGGTAGTTTGAGGCTCTTGTTCCCTTTATGATAGTGTTTTGTTTCTATGGAGCAATAATTTAGAGTATGTATACTTATTTAAACGATGGATTAAGATTACTATTTTGATCGTTAACCTAAAGTAATTTTTGAGAAGATGTAAATTATTAACTTCTTTACTATTCAATGATATTGGAAATATAAAGCTTTTGTTACTTATCATTACAGTCAAAGTCAAATCAGTCAATCATTCTGCTATGATTAAAACAGACAGGGCGTATACATAAGAGTAAAATGTTACTTAAATAATATCGACGCCTAATGCGATACCTTTCATCTTCGGCTGACATCACAGCTATAAACCTTATAATTATAGCAACAAAGTGTAAAATTACCTCAAGATTATCAAAGTCCACTTTGATAAGTCGCCTCTGGGGTTGCGCGTGCGGCGTGACGTCACCGCCCCGCCTCGAGTCGCCCCCGCCTGGGCCACTACCGGCTCCACTTGTCGCTGAAACAATGAAAAATAAACGTTGTTACAACATGACATATGGTTTTTATTTCGTTGAAATGGAGAGTTGCTTAGGACTTTGTGCGTCGTGCTCGAGTGCTCGACGCTCCCTAACAAGAAGGAATTTGATGAAATTAATTAAAAAGCTCATAAGATACAAGCTGAAAGGTTGTTCCCTAGTACCTAAATTAGTCTATTCAATTAAAAGCCTTTCTTCATTGAGTATCACTTAAATTTCTGATGTAGAAAAGGAACATTTATTCACATATATTCGTTACGCGAATTTTAACCCAATTGAGATAGAATATAGATATATATTTACTTTGACTTTCTCTTACGAACGTGTAAAATAATAATAAATAAATAAATATTCCGTTTTCAATGTCACAAAAACTAATGAATAGCTATGAAATTCTTAGCAGCTAAGGAAACCGTAGGATTACTTTCATACCTCGGTAATCCTGGCGGATCTAAACGTAATTTCGAAAGCTTAGCGATGAAAAAGACATATAAAAATGGCGGCTGGCAGGTTAATAGATATCTAGGTTTGTTGAGTATATGCAGGGGTTGATAGGAAATGATATGCTAGCAGGATTTGTAAAGAAAATATTTGTATGGGCAGTGAAAGGTGTTGAATGGGAATATTCGGTGTATTCTCTTGTTTGTCTCCTCTCTCATAGTATTACAGGTTATTATACATATATTCTGCGTACATATTATATCTGAATCATATAGGCACATTGGTAATCGGTAGGTGTTAATATTGCCTTATAAATGATTAAGATTTCTGTGATAACAACCCTAATAACGTCATTTCTTCTAACAAAATCCATTAGTAAAATCCAGCAAAGTAATTATTTAAAAATACTACAATAGTAGTGTCCAAATGGCGAAACATACACGCAACTTATAAAAACACGATATTTATTTACGTCGCAAAAGAATTAAATAAACTCTATACGAAATATCCGTAAACACGCTTCGCTACACCTACCACAACAAATCTCACGATAATTTGTTTAATCAACCCGCAAACGCGCGCGTTTACGTAACATAACCCAGTTAAATAACGACCCTTTATTGGCGAAACGAAAAGAATGTACAGAAACGTCAAGCGACTGTGAAATATGGCAACACAGGTTTATGGTTCAAGGTTGTATTTAAGTAACTCAATTAAAATGTTAATAAGGCTCTTGAATTAATTTTTAGTGATAAGAATAGGAAGTGTTTTATTATGTTGAGAAGTATAACATTCTAGAAACACATATAATTATCTGTATTGATTTTATAAGAAATCAAGATCAAATTAAATGAACATTACGAGAACAGGTATGTAAGATCTATCTGTATGGAGACTGGCATAGACTAGTATACTTATGTGTAGAATGAGATACTGGTATTAGGTAAGCTTAAGGCTGATTTTTCAATGGTTTGATAAAAGTTGCCGGCGAATAATTATGATGCTGTCGCAGCAAAATGTTTGTATAAGACAGTGACAGCAACAATAGTATTCCTGAGATTACATTTATCTGACTATTGAAAAATCAGCCCTTAGCATCATAAGCACCACGAGGTCCATACGACCCGTTCGTGTTTAAGTTTTGTGTAACCGTCACAGCTGCGATTTATTTCTGCGTGTTACACCGAATAAAAAGCTAGCCGTGAGAATGTTGAACATTCACCACACTTCCATGGATCATAAGCTCTTTATTGTTATGACGATAAAGACTATTTTTGTAATACAAGTAGCTACTCAGTGAAGTTTGTAAGCTGTTGTTACTAGTGAAGGGAGGTATAAGCTATAATAATGTAAGAATATATTGAAGAGAAATGAAAGTAGGTACTAGGAAAACAGGTAAGTATACCTACTTTAAATTTTTTGGCTTAACTTAAAAAAACGCTTTAACTTTGTTCTTACTCGAAAAGCATCACTGTGCGTTTTACTCTTAGAACTTTTTTCAAATTTAAACTGACCAGTCTACACCTGAAGATCATTAACCATTATAGGTACTCATGTCAACTTTTTTACTGAAACAATCTAAAGCATACATTATCACTGCTGTAAGATCTGCGATTAATATATTTGTACCTATCTATCTCTCCATTAGAAATCGAAGTGTTCGCAAACACATTCCCACCTCAATCAAGTACACTACATTAGCACACCTCGAACTAAATGAATTGTCGTAATCACTTCACACGAGTAGTGAACTTCATAATTTACGTACCACGTTCGTACTGCAATACGGCTTAACATTTAATTCAAATTAACGGAAAACAACATGGCGGACGCATTCTGATTGGTAGACTCTGCAGTTGGAGTTCTGTTGATTTATTTGTAAGTAAATAAAGTCGTTTAGGTAAGAAATAGTAAAATTGAATATTGAACAATTTTTATTAGAGGTATATTTGCCATCACATAAGTGTGGGAGAGTCATGTTTCGGCTCAAATGGGTTGGCTCAACCGGAGGGATACCACGCGGCCTCACAGAAAACTGGCGTGAATCAACCACAGCGGCGTCGTTGTGTTTCACTGTGTGAGTGAGGTTACCAGAGACCTAATCCCTCTTCTTCTTCCTATCCTTTCACAAATCCTTAAATATCCGAAAACCTTATACCCTTAAATCCCGGCACTCGTAACTCGTATGATGTCCATGGGCGACGCCGATTGCTTACCATCAGGTAATCCGTCTGCTAGTTTGCCGACATAGCATAAAAAACACATTTAACCCGTTGAATGTCGGTTTATAAGACACAATAGAAAATACATTGTGTCTCGCGTTTAAGACAGACGAAAGGTTAATAATGAAAATCATGCATTACAGCAAATATCTTAAGACATTTCTAAGAAAAAAGCCTAAACAAATGTCTACAAATAAAATGTCAGCAACACGCACTTTATACGTGAAACATTTTATAAAATCACTCAGAAACATCACTTAAAAACGTAACTAGCAATAAAAATAAAAACATAAGAGTTGAAAATTGTTAGTTTCGCCCCACTGCGCGTCTAACGACGTGTAGGATTGGTTTATTTGTATGTCTGTGCTATGTAATTACTGCTTGTTGTACTTACGAATAGTAATTTACTTTCACCGTACATATGGACTGTACTTATGGACGAAATATGGCCTTTAGAGGATAATCATCAGGTATTTTATATAGAACAGTGGATTCTCTACTCTTCTTCTTATACTAGAAGTATCATTATTGTCTAACGTTGTTATACTAAGAATGAATCTAGATTTTTCATATTTTACTGAAGATGTACCTATATGTAGGTAGGTATATATTCACACTGTCATATGAAAGGTATTACTTTAAGACTACTGTCTGAACTGTAAGAATACTTAACCTACCTAATATGTGTAAAAATATGTGGCTAATAATATGTTAAAAACATGTGGCATAAGGATACTAGAGTTAGTTTGCTTTCTCAAATGTCTCAAAGTTTTATTGTGATATTGATCTGGAACCTTATCAGAAATCATTATTTAATAATTAAAATTAAAACAAAATAGACCTAAAAGGCGTATCTCGTCTTTTTTAATATGATTTCAATAAAACCTATTTAGCAATATAATATTACCTAAGCCTATCTGTCACGAAGTAGGAGAGATAAGAAAAATTAAATAAATAGATATAACGTTTTCCATGAACTATAGATATCAATTAATCAATATGCTTCTATAGTTAAAATATACGATTAAACTGAACCGATAGTAGAATGGTAAAGTTAACTGCAAAGCGGCAAACATTGATTGATGTTAACTAAAAGTTATTGCGCGGCTCGACGAACTAACTGCAATCTCACACTGTTAACTCGCGTGGCAATTAACCGGTTTGTTTGTTACTTAGTTAGCAGTTAAATTTATTTAAAAGTTTAATTGCAATTGTTAGTGGGTAGCAGAAATAGACTTGTTAAGTTTGAAAAGGGGATTACTCTATAGTCGAAATCACAAAACAACATACAACATTTGCCTTTTTTTAGGAACACCTGATGGTAAGCTATCAGGGGGGTAATCATGACATTCAGAGTAAGACTGTTTTAATCTTACTTCAGTGTGGGTAAGAGACAGAGCTAGACAACTTGTATAGCTCTTTCTCTTGCCCACACTGAAGTAGGATTGAAACAATCTTACTTTGAACATCATGGTTAGCCCCCAGTGCCGTCCATGGACAACCGTTACACGAGAGATGTCACAAGTCCGTTGCCAATCGAAATGGACTACTATAAATGTATTTCAGATCGCTCCTTCAAAAAATATTAACCAATGTTATCCGTACTATTAGGTATGACAAAAAAGGTTCCAGTAGGTACTGGAAATATTAAAAAAATAAGTACAAATATTTTGACTTTCTCCTAAAAATGATTAGGTCCAGGACCCTTCAGATTTATATTCTATAGTAAATAGCAATTTCATCACGACCCACGTTTTAAGTCAATATCAATCGTACGGACCCTAGGGATAAAGGTTAGGTAAGGACTAAAAAATACTGCAAAGGTATACTTGTACGACGAAGGAAATTATATTAACTAGAAATGTATTTTTATGTAGGTATATACATAAAAAGATATCAGGACTATTCAAACGAATTGAAAACTTGACTTGAAATGGCTATTTTATTTATAACTTTTATTACTAAAGCATTTTAAATAAAATAAAATGCGCCATATTGGATTAGATAGAACACTTTTCAAATGATTGTAAAATGGCGGGATGAGTGACGTAAATGCGCGCGAACCTTGACATTTTACTGTGGAGGGAACAAGTACGTAGTGTATACAGGCTGGCAATGGATTCCATAGCCAATAGGACTGCGGATGCGTGTTTGCAATGCAACCTAACTTTAATGATTTAACACTTGAGAAATATTCATAAAATTAGTGTATCAGTAACGACTCTAAATAATTAAAGGAATTTCCTTATTTTTAAAGTATCCACTAATATTTAACATATCGTTCTCTCTTTTCTTCTCCTCCTACCTTAATTGGTCAA